GTTGAGTTTGTTGTTTCTTCCTGTCGTTACTCCGAGAGTTTCTTGATACCACTGGGTTCCAACGGCCTAAAAGCATGATGGATAATACGTTCGTACATTCGCAAACGTTTGACCTCTGTGTTTATCAATATTGTTAAATAGAATTTTGACTCCATTTATCCTTAGTTGTCGTAAACGCTCTGAAAACCTTCCCGCTGGGCTGCTAGACTTCAAACCCACCTCGAGATAAGCGGCCTTCACCTGAAATTCTTTGAAAGTTTAATTAGGCAGCTATTGTTTGAACTGGAAAAATATAGTCTCGAATTAGGCAGAAATTCGGACCTTTGTTCTGTTGGGTGTCCATTTTGGGCTTAGAAATCTCGGAGCGAGCTCTTCAGAATGAATATCGTGTTTCAATTTATTGAGCTAGTTTTCATTAGTGAAATTTTTTACGGTCGAAATTTTTTACAGTAGGAATGGTGGGTTGACCGCTAAATACATCATTGACCACTTAATGTACAGAATTTCGCTCAAAGTTACTAAAAAGATTATTCTTAGTTTTACTGGAACAGTTCCGCTTTCAGTAACCGTTATATACAGGTGAAGGACGATAAAAAAAGGACTTTGTAAAGGGTGACCGCTACCGCCTACTAGAAGTGACCGCTAAATAGAGGTGAAAGCTATTACAGTGATTAAGGAGAAACATATTCGTGACTTTGACAAATGACTGCTTAATACGGCGCCACCAAATGCAGATTCGACTATTATTTCATTCATCATTTTCGCCGAGAAGAGGTGGTTGTTATCTTTAATCCTTTTCCTTTATAATAGATTAACCTCTAAATGTTATTCTATGGCTCTCGTATAATTTTCTCTTCATTTTGTGAAATTTGTGACAACAATGTCGTGAGCTGCCATTCAATTGCGAAAACCTAATTTTAAACTCCCCCATGGAAAGCGAACATCGATTAATGATAAAACAGGGCAAACCTGACATTTCTAAACCAACTTGTCTTAATCATAAAGACCTGTTTACATCACGGCATATCCCCAGTAAGTTCAAAGGGACGTAAATTGGAGAGACAAACTGTTCTGCGCCGATTTTGCCAAGAAAGAATTCAAACCACTGAAGAACTGTGTAAAATAGTTTTATTGTTGATACTTGAAGTGATATCTTTCCTTATGGTGGAACAACTGATAAGCATTTTTTTCCTATTCACGATTGAAATTTATTTGGTTCTTTCGGAAGGTGAGTTTAAAAAATAGATTGTATCAGCGAAATGCTCCACTAAGTTAAAGATTTGTTCTGTACGTTTGGTTCTGTTTTCATAAAGAAAAATTTCAATGATCAATGCTTTATTCTCCATTCTTTTGCCGAGTGACCAAAAAGTGAAATTCATTTTTGTTATTATTGAGATAATTATACAATTGTGTTGAGTATAATGTTCATGCTTTCCCCAGCTTCCCTGCCTCTTTGGAGAGCTTCCATCTTCCGTAAATAATGCGGGAATGATTTGTCATTTCTTAAATGGCTGAAGCGGAATTTACATTTTATCTGTTCTTGTGAAGGATGGTTGGTTTGTCACGACGCTTTAAATTTGAAATCATGGAATTATTTACATGAATTATGTGATAAGAGATTACGGCTTAGAAAAAAAATGAATATTTTTTTCCAGTTCGAGTTTCCACCTCCACCAGAGGCCTCCTTAATTGTTTTATTCTATTTGTTGATGAACGTCACTCTTATGGTAATTTTGGTCCTTTCAAATGTCAATAAGTCGAGTTCCAGTTTTCATCATTAAAGCAGTTTCTCAAAATTAAAAAACCCCGATGGCTTTCGGAGACAACTTTCTAAAATATGTCGTCTGCCCTCAGCGAATATCTCAGCCGATGCATTTTCCTGGTCCGTTTTTTCTTCCAGATTTCTGAAACAACATCCTGTTATAATTTATAACAAGACGAAACAACCTGCCGTTAAACGATTGATAGCGAGGTCTTATCGATGTCTTATTTTCAAAACATACTTTTTATTGCAGATAATTGCCGAATACTGCAGTTTTTGGATGCCAAAGATGGCTCAGCGCTGGAAAAACACGTCATAAGAACAATTGCCTTAAACTCTGAGCATTCGTGCAGAGTTCAGTGTTATCTGGAGAACGCATGCGTATCGTACAACTTTGGAAAGAGAGTAGCAGGAGATGAAGTCTGTGAATTAAACAATTCGACAGACATACAACATCCGGATGATTTAAAGCCGAGAGTGAATTTCATTTATCGTGGAGCTGAGGTATATAAAAGTTTCCTATAATTTTACAATTTTTTTTGTACCCAGAAAAAGGATCTCATTGGAGAAAAAGTTTAGCCATAAAAATAAGCGTAAATATTGACAAATTCTAACTGTTACTCGTAAAGAGACTTTCCCTGTTAAAATAATTGTTTTATTATACATTTTTTATAACAATCTGAATAAGAAAACACTTCTCTCTGGGTTTTTTTTTTTTTTGAGAACACCACGCGGACGAGGGGCTTAGAGGCAAGGCAGACTTTGAAATCGACATAATAACCCAATTTCTGCTGCAGACATTAAGTTGTCATGTCACCTTCATTCGTCATTGTAATTGAATGTATGCTGTCGTCCAATCAGAGTTTTCATAGTTTAATGTATAATAATGGAAGTTATCAACAATTAGCCGTAAAATGGCCAAAATTTTTTTATCGTTAGCCGTAAAGGCCACTACCCCATTGGTACCCTATCATAGAACTATCATAAAAGCCCCCTTCTATGAAGGCTTGTCGCTTAATTCAAAGGACAGTTTCAGGGCTAGAATTGATGTCACTTCAACACAAGTTTCCCTTCAATGAAAGTAACAGATACAAAGTCATAGCAGTCGGACCATATATAATTTTATAAAGGGGCTAAATGATTTCTCATTAGAGCTGTTCAATATTGTAGTTCCTCGTTGATGCGG